AAACACACAGCATGTTACTGATCTCTCTTTACAGTAAATATCTGACCTGCAACAGGTCTTTTTCTGCTTCGACTGGACTGCAAACTTGCAAATTACTTCTTATGCGGTATTATTGTAATGGGTTTGGTGGTGTTTTTCCTTCTATTCTAAAGTACTCCCATGTGATTTAGCAGAACAGAAAATAAATAATTTTTGCAATTAAAAAACATAGATTTTTATCTAAAAAGAAATTTGACAGATGTGTAAATTCAAAGGAAATTGTATTCGGGCAAAGCTTTTTTTTAGCTTGCCAAAATACTGATCCCAGTATTTTACAGGGAATTTAGTATTTTAGTTGGAATGTTCCAGCAACCTAGATTTTGTACATATGTATCTATACACGCACACATATTCTCTCTCTCCCTCTCTCTCTCTTTGTGTGTGTGCGTGTGTGTATGTGTGTGTATATATATATTTTATATATACACAGTAGGATTATATTAGTTGATCAAGGTCTTTGGACAGCCCAAAGCACAGCAAGTGATCATCTCTTCAGAACAAAGGCCCTGCCACTTAAACTTCACTGTCATCTGTATAGTTAAGGAAGAGTTGCACTGATCTTGTTGTTATAAACCACTCTAAGGTCTATCTATTCTTTGAATGGCTTCTCCTCTTAACCAGAAAGCTCCAGCGTAGTCAAGTTTCATTGCTTCAGCTGTGATGGATTCATGCGTAGGCGCAGCAAACCAAGCCCAAACACAAGCTATCCAATCTCTGCATCGCAGCTATGCCCTCCTCATTTTTTTTTTCCATTTTTTTCTTTCAGTCACAAGAGACTGATCTCTTTGGTCTCATATCATTCTTGTTGGCACCCAAAAGGTTCTCGGAGGCCTTGGTAATGCCATCGCTTTTTTCCTGTAGGAGATGCGTGGAAAACGGTGAAGAGGAGATGTTAATGGCAGAAGATGATGGCCCTGATTTGATTCATTCTCAGGATTTTAGGAAGCAACATAGCATCAGTAGAAGCAATCTAGCAAATTATCGCTGCGAGGAGGAGAGAGAACACCTGATAGCCCATGAGAGTTTGGATTATTTACCTTCACATAGCAAAGCTTATAAGAATTGGCTACAAGAGAAAACATCCAGGTAAACATACCTTAAGCAAATCACGTTATGTTGCCTCTGAGCTATGGGTAATTTGGACAATCCAGGGAGACGTCTGCAAACAGGAGAAATTAAGAAAATGTTGTTTGTTTTTTCTGTAAGTAGGAAAATACTTTCATAGAATGAAGAAGGGGGAAAAGTAGAGAAGTAATCTTTGATTACAAATATCTTTGAAAGTACTTATGCCTTCGCTCTTGACAAATTGTTGGGTGTACAGAAAATGTAGCTCACTACTCAATGTATACAACCCGAAGAGGCTTTGCAGAGGTTTTAGAGAACGTTCTTAGTGTATTCTTTAGGAAAAATGTCTTGTTTGAATCTCAAAAATAAATAATATTTGGTAAGGTGGGTTTAGTCATAGATGGTACTAGAAATACATTTATTAATACACAAGTATTATTAGAGGTTTGTGTTTAGGTAAGATAATAGAGATAACTTTTGCACGTTTGTGTGATATCTGCTGTGTCAAGTACATTAGCTGTAGCAGAAGAAAACAGGAACTGCTTTGAAACCACTATTCTGAGCATTCTAATAAGTGTTTAATTAGTGACTTCACATAATTGAATTTTGAAATTGCATCAGATCACCACCATCTGAAAGCAGATTACACTGTGACTTATGTATTTAAAAAAAAAAAAAAGTAAATGTGTTCCTTACCCAAATAGAAATGTCTTTCACCAGAAAGTAGAGTTTTGTCAGTGCATACTTTTGTAAGTGGTATTGATAGAAACAGTGCCTTGCTCATACAACCACAGCTAATAATCAAAATGGCATAAAAATGGAACTTGTGTATTTGTGAAAGGAAGTGTGGCACGCAGTCTTGTGCTGTGGGCTGAGAGCTAACCACGTTCTCCCGTTTGTAGAACGGAGTGGGATCGATGGCTGCTGATGGGACTAATTGGAATAGCAGTTGGGATGCTGGGGTTTTTGACTCATCAGATAATTGACTGTCTCATCAAATTGAAATGGGACCTGGTGGAAAATTACCTGCAGGTGAGCAAAAGAAAGATTGATCTCTTCTACATTTTTCTATTAGAAAATCCGCACTGTGAAGTTTTTAACTGACTGCAAGTGCCATCTGCTTAGGTTCCTGTGGATGTTAGATATCCTGTGGTTCTTTGCACAGGTAAGCTTTGATGTCCTCTGCTAGGACTTACCCAGTACAATATCTGATGGAGTTCTTTTTATGAGTGAGGTTGATGAGGGCAGTCTTTAAAGTACTGTGGCCTTCCTCTTCCCCCTTGTGCATGCATGCAGTGAAAGGAGCATTAGATGCTGTTGATGCCCAACGGAAGGGATTAGGTTTCACTTAAACTCCTTAGTAAATGTGGATTTGATAACAGATTTGTTATTACTTACAGCAGTTATGAGGCAGCTATATTTTACTAATGCTGTACATAGATTATTGTGAAATTGATAATTTGCCCTTGATGGGTATCATCATCTCTGTGGTAACTGGGGGGGTGGTGGTGGTGTGGTAAAAATCACCAAACTGCTAAAGACTGATGTAAATGTGAAGGAATCTCTGCCGCTGACTGATTGTTTCTCACGTATAGAGAGAGGCAGATGGTAAAATTTTAGCCTGGTATGGGATATCCATGGTAGATAGTATAAATACTGAGGAGCTTCTTGTGAGAAGGGTGCTTTGAGCTTCTGTTGCAGCTGACCCCTGACTAGGGAAGGTCAAGCACCCTTTCAGCCTGTGCTATGGAGAGGCCAATGTAACTGCTGGGCCTGGAGAGCTGAGGGCGGTGTTTGCGTGCTCAGCAGTGGCAGTGAGATGCTGCAAGGCATGGAGCCCAGCACCCACTGGCCGGGGTGCCCCCAGCACTGCAGAGGCCTTGACCCAGGGTGAGCTCTTGAGGGAGGGTGCAACTGTGCAGGGCTGGAGCTGTCACACATGGGCTCCTTGGCTGCAGGAGGTGAGCTCTGAGGGATGAGCTGTGTTGTCAAGTAAAGGAGCTGTGGGAGGAGGTCAGCAAACCACGCACCGACAGATATGATGAAAAGGAGATTGACTGGATCTTCCCTGCGACGCTGGAGAGACTAGAGCCTGAATTGCCAGCTGCAGAGAAGGAGAGGCAGACAGAGCGTGGGCTGGTTGTGCTGGCAGTTGGAGACTCCCACGATGGGGAAAGCTTGAAGTTTGTGACTTCAGGCACCAGGAGGACAGCTCCTTCTCAGTTTCCAGATTTGCAACTACAGAATAGGTTCAGTGCCCTTGTAGCAGATCAGGGGCCAGGAGCTCTGCCCAAAGCTGCATTTGAGCCAGCCAAGCTTGAGCCATGCATCAGTGAAGGGAGGAGGCAGCGAGTGGTGGTGATGGGAGACTTCCTGCTGCATGGTATGCAGGCCCTCATCTGCCAAGCAGACCCACTGTTTATGGAAGTTTTCTGCTTGCCGAGGGCTTGGATCCAGGATGTTGTGGAGAGATTGTCAAGGCTTGTCCAGGCCTTGGACTATTAACCCCTTCTGCCCTTACATGTGGGCATCGGTGATATGGCTGGGGGGACCTTGAGCATATGAAGAGTGACTGTGTGGCTCTGAGGGCAAGGGCTGAGGTGATTTGCTCCTCAGTCCTGCCAGTGAGGGGGAAGGGCTTGAGGAGGAGTGGATGGGTCTCGCAGATCAACAGTTGTTGGCGCAGCTGGTGTTGGCAATAGGGATTTGGCTTCTATGACCACGGGGATCCTCTTTGAGGAACAAGGACTGCTAGTAAGAGTCAGGCTCCACCTGACCAACTGCAGCGAGAGCCTCTTTGTTAAGAGGCTGGAGAAACGGGCAGAGAAAAATGTCATGAGGGTCAACAAAGGGAAGTGCAAGGTCTGGCACCTAAGGAGAAACCCAATGCACCAGTACAGGCTGAGGGCCGACCTGCTGGAAAGCAGCTCTGCAGAGAAGGATCGGGGGGTCCTGGTGGACAACAAGTTGAACATCAGTCAGCAATGTGCCCTTGTGGCAAAGAACACCCAGCAGCCTCCCGGGCTGCATT